TAATTTTTAGACTTTAATATAGTTAATTTATGTAAAATTGTACAGCATTTTGTTTTATAATTACATTACTTTCAAAGAACTAAATAAATGATCACATATTACTAAATTAGTTTATAATTCGTATATAAGAACATTTATATATTTAAAGTAATTTGAATGGTTTAATTAGGTACTACTTTATAATATCAGGTAGTTTAATAAAAAATAAACCAAATTATTTTAAAAATAAGGAAATTGTGTTTTGATAAATAAATAAATATATTATATTATAACATAATATTTATACATGGCTATAAATATTACACTTCAAAACAGCTCAGACAAGAAAAAAAAAATAAGATATTTTTTTATAAAGGCCATCATATTATATTTTTAATCTCTGAAGTGTGAATTGATAAATCTAGTTTAAGTACCTACTTGTTTGTAAAAATTGCACCAATGGGAATTTAGTTGTATAACATTATTGATTATTTATTATTTTCATCCATTCACTAATATATAGCATTTTAATGTCGATAAGATTATTTTTGAAAAATAAAAATAAAATAAACAGGTAATATATAAAATTACTTATAATCTAATAAAACTGTGATTTTTATTTTATTCTCAATTTAGTTTTAGTGTATTAAACACAGATCATGTTATCACTAGAGTTTCTATGACAGTTTATAATGTTTAAAAAAAAGGTAGAAAGAAATAAAAAAGTTTACTTTAACTTTAAGAAAAAAAATTTGATTCAGTATTCTGCTGTTTTTTATTTCAAAAGTTAAAACAAACAGTGATTATAAGAACTTAGTATTATTTTTATTGACTTCATATCAAAAAACAGAAAACAATTTCTTGAACTAAATGGTATTCAAAATAATTAGCAGATAGTATACTTTTTAAGAAGTTACAAAGTGGTGCAATTTCTGTCTCTACTACTCATTTATTTTCCTTTAAATTATAAATTTATTTTTTATTTTTAAAACTTCAGTAATTTTGTCCGTAGACAATATTATAAAATCCTTATATTTTATTGCAGTTTTTTTTTTTTGGGGAATGAGTTTTGAACTAAAATATTATTAGATTCACTAAACTACCGTAAAAAATAATATACTTATATATTATAAACCGAAATTAAAAATTGTTGATTTTTCTATTTTATTTGTTACAAATGATTATATAATTTATTTTATTTTTGCAGTACTAACCAATGGCCTATTTTAAAATTTGAATTATTGAATTATTATATCATTAAATTTTAGTATTTTATATAGTTAAAAAAAGGCATTAACAAAAAAAAAAATATATATATATATACATATTTATTTTGGTATCTATACTTACTCGTATATAGAATTACGTAGTGACATACATTATTTATACTGCTAAAAAGTATTTACATTGGTCTAAGAAGTAGTGTAATTGTAATGTAAGTTGGAAACATTATTTATGCATGTATATTTATAGAATCAACGAGATTCTAAGGTCCTCAATTCTAAATAACTGAATTTGGTGTATCTAACATTTGTCGTTCTAACTTACTAAACATTGATATATTAATTAAGTATCATTAATGGCATACACGACAGTTTATTTATAAAGTGAGATGATGTTAAAACAATATATCTTGTTTATATCAATTAATGATAAATAAGAAATGATGAGCTTGTGATGCTGAATTTAGAATTGTAATACGTGTAAAAATTATATAAAAAAAAAATTAAAAAAAATAACGGCTATGGTAGGTAAACGTTGAAAACATAAAATAGAAGATTCCCAATCTATCATGTAGGATTTTTAGAATATGGCAAAAAAAGATAGTAATAACTAATAATAATAAGAAGAATATTATAGTAAGAATTATACTAAAAATAATTTTGAGATAAACTGGTCGGTGAAAAATCACTGCCAAAGTACAGAAAGTATACATTACGAAATAATTGGAATCGCAATATATAATATTTCATGTTGAGATACATACATGATCATTTATGACACGAAAAATGTTGTAGACTACAGAATGACCTAATGTAGTTCTCGTTATTTTTATCACATATAATTTGAAAGACCTGCACGTGACGCCCTTTAAACGCATTACAAAAACTAAATTTTAATACACCCAAGGTAAAGGTCCTATTTGAAATAGGATAACGTTGCTAGTTTTAGTCATATTATTTTTCGATATAAAAATATTCATGGTAAGGTTTCTTTTTGACGTACTTATAGTCTTCATGAGACCCTATAATATTACATTTTTATTATAAAGAAATAAGACAAAGAAATTATAAGTAGCTTTTTAGTATATTATTTTGAAGATTCCATCAATATAGTTCAAATACCTATAGGTACTACGAATTTCACAATAATTGTTAAAATCTTAAAATAAAATATAAATAGTTTTTAAAAGTATTACTTATAAGTTAGAGATTTAAAAGGTTGGACATAATATCATTTGATTAGAGCAAACACTATTATTATTGATATTTTGTTTTTATACATTTTAAACTATAGGTACGTATAAAAGTAGTTTATAAAATAAGTACTGATATATCATAGTTAAATCGTTTAATTATGTTATTAGGAACGTAATATAATTTAATATATAGGTACATAATAGAGTATTATACGATATAGATGTCAATAGATCATATTTTAGATTCTGAGCGGAATGATGGATGTATTGATTATACAATACAGTGTGTTTTTTTTAAAATTTGTTTTCATTTTTGTGACTATTATGATCATTTTAGAGTAATAAAAATGATTTGATTTTCAATTTAGATAAATTTATCGTAGGAATGTAGATCTAGTTGATACTATATGATGGTGAGAAGGTTAAAAGTAAAATATAAATATCCGTATGAAATTGTTAAATATCGTTAGATTTAAATGTAATACATACACTACAGCGACTTACTCAATGACGTGGTACATTCAACGACTATTGTACAGTAGATTGGTAACGTACATTATCCTTTTTTTAAAATAAAATATGCATAATTGAATTAAAAAATAACGAAATTTTACATAGATTTTTATATATTATATATACCTACAACATATTATAGGTACCGTGTCCCAACTACCAACCACTATAATATTAACATGCGCGCAGATTATTTATTTATTTTTTTTATCTCTATCCATTTTTATTCAGTAATGGAAGTTAAATAATAATTTATATTTAACATGGATTCAAAACTTGATAAAAATTGTTTCATATTGCAAAATATTTTATGTATAAAAACCAATAAATATTTTTATAAGGTATTTTTTAATATAAAGATCTAATATCATTATATAGCTAAATATAACTACACGTTTTAAATTGTATTTTAAGCTCAAAACACGAATTTTAGCTCAGATCGTATAAATAAATCATGGAACTTAAATGGCTTATGGTTGTTTTTGTGTTTAAATTTATGCTAAACATATCTCGATCCATTAACGATGGAATAATATGGTACCTTTCGAATATGCTTGTGGTTATGATATGTCTGTGTATAAATATATCATGATATCATCATTGTCATTTATATTAACCTTTTAATTTAGTTGAAGTCTTTTAACTCGAGTATTATATAAAATTTAAAAATATAGAAGTAAGTGGAACTTATTTTATGCCACTTAAAATTCAAAGTATCGAGACTCGACAATAGATATTTTTTTTTTACAAAAGTTGTGAAAAATGTTTTCACCAAAGTACTTGTATATATTAACTTTCTTATAATTGTTGTTATTTTCATACAATTAAATTATCATTCTCCAAATTTGCTATTTTCTTATTAAAATTAAAAACTATAATATATGCACAGTCATGAAACTAATTTAAAATTATTTATATAAAGTAAAACGATTTTCATGCTTTCTGACAAACTTGTCATAAATTATGTTATTTTATGTAGGTGGCTTTAGCAATGTTTAAACGTCCACATACAAAACTTTTTTTTTGTTAATAATGTAATAATTTAAGGGCAATTAATATAATATTAAGTTTCAAGTTTCAGTACATAAAGTGACAAGTTATTTTTTACTTGAAATGGATTGTTTAAATAGACATTGTGTGTAGTATAGCTTTAAAAACTTTTGTTTTATTAATATCAACAATTGTTAAATAATATCATATTATTGTAGTAATGTTCATAGTTTTTTAGTAAAAAAATCTTATTTTTTTTTTCTGTTAAATGACATATGCGTTTTACTGAAGACAAAGTCCATCACGAGTACAATATTTACATTTTTAAGAATAGTTTACGCACATTTACTTAGAAAATAAATTATTTCAAATACTGTCAACATTTCTGTTGAATATTTTATGATATTATGAACTGTGAACGTTGTAACAAAACGGAATCACTAAAGTATATTGTACTTATTTCTACGCGTTTATTTAAAAATTAAATTAGCGTTTATGAAAAACTAAACATTTTCTCGTTTTATAATCCTAGTGTTATGCGCATTTACAAGACCCTTTATATACCGCAGATCTCATTCATTTTGGTAGTTATGGTACCTAAATGTTATTATTATATATTTAGAACAGTATAATAGTAGGTACTCGTGGATTCTCGGTCCAACAGTTTTAAATAATTCCGGTGTTGTAGGTATATAAAGGAAACACATTTTGATAAATGTCTGTATTACGTAGTTTTAATTTAACCTGAATGAAATAATGACAAAAAAATAAATATTTTTTCAACTTTTTCTCATTCCCACCATACAACCACTTAAAAAATTGAAACTAAAATAATAATAATTATAAAAAAAAAAAACCTATAACAATTACAATTATTGATGTCAAATCAGTTTTAATATATTTTATCATCTATCATTTTTATGGTATTAATTTATTTTAATATACGAGTATTGTGTGTACTGTGAAAAATGCAATGGGCATGTCCATTTTTAGTTTTAATTTAGAATTTAAAATAATATAACTATAAAGAAGTTATTATTTTTATTTTTTTGTAATTACGTTATAATTTTTAAATTTTTTTTTTTTTTGTTTTTCACAGACGAGGATGAACACCAATCTGACGTAGTCGACCAGCAGTCAAAGACGTCCAACTACGAACCGTTGGAGAGACGAATGACGCCGGGTGGATCGATAACATTCACCTGTAGGATCGGTCTGATCGATCAGAACCATCAGAGTATACAGTGGTATCACAACGAAAAGCTAATATCGATAATGGTACGAATGGTCAATTACGTTCCACTAAATGTTCTTTTTTTGAATTCGTGTGCAGTAATTAACGAATATGTTAAATGTCGAATGGTTGAGTCGTAAACAATTTAGAAATTAATATATTCTTGAGTGCTCTTTTGAACTAACTGTTTTTAAAGAGCTCAATATAGGAAATTGTCTACGTGTGAGTGTACGATGTATACTGTACATGTTGTGTAAAAGTTTGCGGAGTAAGTTATCATGAGCGAGTGTAAAAAATATAGCAGAACGCTTCCACACAGCATACACGTCACCAATTTTTTGCCAACGAGTTATTTTTTTCATTAAAAGCAACGTACCGAAAAACTTATTATATCGTGAGAAATCTGAAAACATTTCAACTTGTTATCAAGTTAACTTTAAATTTATCAACTCAATTTCGTCTAATGATCAATGCTTAAAAATACTACAATTTTTACATTTTTTAAATCAAATTAAAAGAAAAGACAAGATTCGGAATTTTTTAAAAGTGGGATGCTCGATTTCAATTAGATAAACTTAAAAATGAATTTAATTCTTTAGTTCTGTGATCACATTACTAGTTTTTGCGATACGATGTTAAACATTAATATTTGAAAACATAAGAGATATATTGTACTGATATACTATATAAGCGTGGTTTTGTTAAAAAAAAATAACCAGTACCGAATCTTCTAATGAATTGCACGTGTAGGTAATTTAAAATAAAGGTTATTGTAGGTAATCTTGATGATAATGTCGCATATAAATTCATAAATAGAAAATAAATTCAAAACAATATCTCTCGGTTTGATTAAATTGATTATTATTCTTTCGGTCGCAATCATTTTGCTTGTCCACCAGACAAGATATAATAATATAGTGTTTAATAACAGACATAATGATGGTAATAATAATTAAATTACACGATCTTTATTAATCACAAATGTACCACACGGTACGCTGTCTACGAGAATTTATTTATTCGACTGCATATGTGTACGCGATAAATCACACACGACACGTCAAAATTACCGGATGTAGAAACAACATAAAATATAATAAATAGACAAATAATTTTTTGCCGTTCGAAACAATAATAATAATTCATAAGCTATTTTAACGGTATGTGAAATACGTACGTGCAAATAGTGTTTACGAAATACATTATACCGAGCTTGCCACATAATATAACAACATGGTGGCAAGCGCAGATACTTTTATATAGATTTTATAAAACACAAAAACATCGTGTTACATATTGTTTTTATTTTCAAATGGTTTTAATTGTTCTTATTCGTCAGAGAGTTTAAAAAACAAACAAAAACAGTCAAAATTCTATTTAGGACAATTTAATTTCCGCTCGTAAATCTGATTCTTGTACATACCATCCACTGGATATTTCGTTTGATATTGTAATTTATTTATATGAAAATCATAAATTTGTTTCAATTGATCACATATTGGTATTATTGTACTATTACGATATTGTCATTATACAGTTTTATGTGTTTTTCACTCTACGGTTATAGTAAGGGACGGAGTGGAGAATTATGATTTGGAATTCGGATGTGAATTATGATGAGTACGTTGGTCGAAATGTGGCTATTATTTTATTTATTTGTCATTCGGTGATTAAAAACACTTGTATTATCATTGATAAACTTAGCAAAAAGTTTCATAATTTATTGTTATTAATATTGAATTAATATAGAAGTTGTCCTTTGTATTATTTTTAGGGAATAAATTGATATAAACACTTAATAACTCTGTAATATAATATATGAATTTATAACCTAAACGATAACTAATTTTTTTATGTTTTAATATTTCATTATATTCAAATACATGGGATTCTAATGAAGTATAATATATTATACAAATAATAATTAATAGTTTCATGGAATACAATAAAGTTTGATTAAGTACCTACTATTTAGCTACGCTACCTACGCTTGGCTGTGAATGTCATTATACATAATATCGCCGTAATCAGTTAATATAATTAAATAAACGTAAGTTAACTTGTCCAGATAACATATTTTTATTCTCTTCTAAACCTCAAATCAAATCTTATTATCAAACTATTCCTGTTCAAAGCCTTTATTAGACCATTTTCGTCACATGATGTACATATTTGATCTCTTACGAAACTATAGAAACTCCACCCAATCTTAGCTTGTCTTAATATGTAGTAATGCAATGTATGACAAAATTAACTTTTTATTAAAGGATGTGGCTTCCTTTACTACCTAATCTAAATTACCTTTCTCATTGGTTAAAATAAAACGAAAATAATGATGAATTGAACTGATAAATAAATAATTAAATTATGAATTACTAACGAGTAGCTTACTTATCACGTTATTCATGTTTATTAAAATTACTTATCATCATAACTACTTATTGCAACCACATAATTGATCAACTTTTTATTAAATTCTTAATTTAAAAAAAAAAACCACCTTGTACTGTTATATTCCAATTAAATTTAAAAACAAATGTAGACAATCATTCTAAAAATTACACTCGTTTCGCTTGTTACAAACGAGAATTTAATCTCATGAGAATAATCATTTTAGAAAGGTTACTTTAGTATGTTATGGTTGTTTTCTCTTTAAATATGAAAACAATTAATTATTACATATGTAAAATTACTTCAAATATAAGCCTTTACATCTTACGTAGTTTAACTTCTTTCGTTTGGTTTTTTTTTACAGTGACTCTTCTAAAAAATAATGAGAATTTTGAGATACTAATGCTCTCAAAATACCATCACATGTTATTTTCAAAAGATTGTACATTTTTTTTTTCGGAAATTAGTTACCATAAAAACACGACATCGTTATAAAAGCAAGGCAAGTTTTTTTTATGCACCTGGAATTCGTCAAGTTTTGATATTCTTATTACCTATACCTACATTTTTACTCTAAATGAATTTAATTGGATACGATCGAACAATAACAGTTATAATAAATTAATAGGTACCCGCATAATACGTGTATATCATTATTTTATTATTACGTATTTTAGTTTTATAATAAAATTAATTAATGGTCTCAAAAATGATTATACGTGGGTATTGCAATTTGAATGCATATCTATTGTTTTAAAATTTCAGAATATTTTATATCTTAATCGATTTTTCATGTGGCTTATTTACTTAAATCAAATGTTATAATTTCTATATATTTTTAATTATTTAAATAAACTACAAATGTTTCACGTCATAATTTTAATCGTATTCATGTGTATTTGCGTAATTTATTTTGCATTAAAATTTCATTCTTTAATCAATATTGAGAATAGTTTATAGCAGAAAATTTGATATATTTTTTAATTTAGAAAAAATTATAAATAAAAAATGTCTATTGTATTCTAAATAATTGGGGGGAAACGCGAATATATTTATTTAACATCAGATTTAAACTAAAATAATAGTTGTATTTCAGAGATCGTAGTTTTGATATTTTCATCAACTATTTATATTAGAATATCTTAAATCTAATTTATTTTTCAAAATTTTAGATTTATTTAAACTTTTTATTTCGAATATACATAAATATATATATATATATATATATATAAGGATATGGTAATAATTTACGTATAAGTTAGGTATTCACTTATATGTGATATTTTTGTAAGCATATACATTCCAAAGAAATAATTACAATACAGATAAAATAAACTAATAAATTAAATTTCATTAAATTTTACTTCATTTTGTTTAAAATTAATAATTATTTGTATGAAATGGTTCATCATTAAATTTATACTTGAAACCTACTCAATGATGAGATATATTTGAAACTTACCATAGCAGAAATGAATTTTCCGGTTTTAAAAATATACTTGGATGAGTCAAAATTTCAAACCGAATGTAAAAACTATAATAGTTTTTTTCAGGCATTATATTTTTGAATGTGATTTGTTAGGTAAAAATAATACAATTCCAAATAATAGATTCCTTCGAAAAAGTGGCAAAGTATAAAAATCGAATTTATAAAATATAATATATTAAAAAATAACGGGAGCTCGATATCAACCGGACAATTTTTCTGTATTTAAAGTCTATTAATCATTTCTAAACTGACATTCTGAACGAGAAATGATACGGTTAAAGCTTATCGCCATAAATCTCGCATAGTTGCCTTTGGGACTAACACGTAACTAGTATATTATAGGCTCAAAACAGTGAATCAATTTATTCGCAGTTTGTTTTGAAAATTTTTAAAATTTATAATAATTGATACACAATGCACAATATTTTTTATATATATATATATATATAAAGAACATATATATAAAGCTAAATTAAAAGTAATTGAAAGTTTATATCTATTCTTATCAAAATGTGACAAGGCAAACACGCAGACGAAATAAAATGAAATAGCTGTAATACGATATACAGCTAATACTTTGTTGATGTACTTCCTCATCTTCGTTTAGGTTTGGGTATATGGTGTACGTGTCACGATTTCGAGGGATCAGGAGTTTTATAAAATATATGAAACATCTGGGTCAGGGAGTTTGTTAATAAGAATTATCTGCTCACTACTAGACATGTTAAAATAAACTGTTATTGCTTTTTGGTGGAGTATTATCGACAAATGACGTAAGCAAATTTTAAGTTTTCACTTTGTGCTTGAAAATAAAACGCAATAATATAGCTTTATTAATAAACCAAATTTTAAATTACAAATGATAGTAGAATATATTGTTTTGGGAAATATATTTTCAATTGTATGTTCAACTGTAGAGATATAAATTAATTTAATTTTTGTAAAATCCTAAAGATACTTATGTTATGCTTGATTTTTAAGCAATATTTGAATGCAGTTTTAACTTTTAACGAGTAAAGCTTGATGACGTGTTAGTTGGATTATGGAAGTATAATAATTTATTATTAATGTTGAATATTTGTAAGTAACTGAGTTCTGTATACTATCATGTCTTGATGAAAATTAGAATTTAATTAAATTGTTTTGTTATAAATATAAAAACTATATAAAAAAAAAAAAAAACAATTATAGAAGACAAAGCAAAATAATTTACTAACAGAAAAAAATCCACTTGCAATTTTATAATATTAAAAAAAAATACGTACACAATTTCCTTAAGTGTTACTCGTATGTAACAATAAAAATAAATTAGATGATTTATTTTCTTAAGAATGATGTTATTATTAAAAATAAATTCTCATAAAAAATACTAGAGTATTCATCATTATTTGATTTACTTGATGAATTTTTTCATTTTGAACGTTTAAATTGTTCACAAAATATAGTGATTTAGATGAGGATTTGAATCTAATAGATTATGAATACAGAGCAAAATCTCGTTAAAATGGAATGTTTTAAGGGAATAAAAAGAAACTACATACATAAATACACAAATGTTTGTTTAAACGCAGATATTTGAAAATTAAAGAAAACAATTAATGTTATATTAAAAAAAAAAAAAATTATATGAGAATAAAAATACATTGTAGATTATATAAAATTGTTTATCTTTATAATATAAAATTGTTTTTTAATAAAAATTTAATTTATTTTGTTTGATAAAAGATATTTAAAATATAATAAATGTTAAAATTACTTTTTTACTTCTCAATGACAAACAATTTTTTTTTTAACCACATAAAATTATATATAAAAAAAAAATATACAATTAATCATAATTATTAGAAAATATTGTTTTATACAATAATTATTATTACTTATTACAAATAAATGCTATAATATTACTTTACTAGTTTTCTTTTATAGATAAATTAGTTTGATATCACAATAAATAAATTTGGATGACTTTTATTTTGAATTGTAATTTTTAGATTTTGTGAGGATTGATGAATAGATTGTTTTTATAATGATGAGAGTGTGTGTGTGTTTTTTGTATATTTCATCGCCATTTGGAGCTGTGAAAATACTCCATTATTGAACTTAGAGGGTGCTTAAAAAAAAAAAAAAAAAATGTATCTAATTAGTATTTTGGGACTAAAGTTTTCTTTCTTTTTTTTTTTAAAGTATTTTAGTAATAAAAAAATTATAAAACCATTTTTCGTGAGGTATTCATTGTATAGCTTTGTTATTTTCTTGCTAAAATAAATAATCCAGAAAAAAATTAGTAAATACTATTTAAATTTTACTGATTATAACTAGATTTATAGGTTTTAAAATTTACAAACATAAAATTCTATTAACACTAAAAAAACAAACTTTTGTTATTTTCAGATTAAAAAATATTTTTATAGAAACTTATTTTTATTCTAATTGTATTATATTTTCAGGTATTCTAAGTGTAGTGCAAAATGTATCAGTGATATATTTTAATAGGTTTTGTTTTTATTTTTACCAAAAATAAACCGTGGGGATGAAATTTTCACCAAATATTTATATTTATATTTTCTAGATATAACATAATTTTTCAAATATTTTTGGTCCTTTTTCAACATTTATTGATATTTTAATTTATTGACGTTAATTTTAATTTTTCGTAAATTTATGTGTGGCCATATTATTTTGTTTTTTAGTCAAAAATGTGTGCAATTTAATTGATAAAAGGTTCTGAATATTATGTCGCTCTATTTAAATATTAATTCATGAATTTCACGGTTTTATTATAAATATAGAGAATGTAAGGGTACAACTTTTATAGATATTTATTATTTCAATGTTTACGTTATCAGATATTTAAATGATAATAATATTTTTTTCTTTATAATTTTAATTATTTTACTGTAATTTAAAAAATATTACTAATTATTTTAGCGATTTGAATTTTTTTAAAGTTACATACCTTATATTATTGTTTTTTTTATACATATTGGCATTTTCAACGTATTTAGATTAATTTTAAACTATTTATTACTCGAAACTATTCTTACCATAAATTGAGGGTACGTGGTATTGACTTATAAGTTAATAACAATAATGTAGTATGAACGAATAATTTAATATATATGCTGTTTTTAGCAAAAGTTAGTTCAACGAATAACCAATATCTAATTAGAAAAATAAACTATTTATAGTTGTACAAATAAATTTGGTATAACATATCTTTAAAAATTGATGCTGACATGACGTCTCTGCTCAGAATCGTTTATCATATTATTCAATTCAATTTTAAAACATCCAATAGTATCTTATTCAACGAATAACTACATTCAAAACTTAAAATTTATTTTATAGCTAGCAATTTCCTTGGTTATTAAATAATGAAATTATTAACTAAAAGTAAAATCTATTGTTACTTAAGATTAATTTAGTCATAGTGAATAACAAAAGTTTATTGTTTTACCACAATAAATAACATAATATCTTATATATAATAAATAATGTTTATTAAATATTATAATACGATTTATTCCTTTTTTAAGTGAACGATTTTTTATAACTCAATATAATATTTTGTCTAGAATTATAAAATTGTATTTCTTAGGAGCTATTTAAATGGATATAATACATCGGTATAGTTATACTCTAAAAGTGTAATTTATACTTTTTTTTAGAATTTGATTTGATTTTTTTTTTTTTTTTGAGAGTCAAAATATTTAGAGCTAGAATCATAAATAATTTATTTTTGGAAATTTGTCTCATTTTTTAATTACGAAAATACATTTATAAAGTTCATAAAGTTTTTAACAAAAACTATGATTTATTCATTAGTTAAACGTTATAAGCTCTGCCCAGTGTCGTAATTCAAATATTATGATTCATAACTAGCCCTAGAATAATATTAATTTTAGCAACCGACTATACACGAAAAGTTTTTCTGCATGCGATTAGTTTTAAATTTATATTTTTTTAAAGATTATGTGTGAGAAGGATGGAGGACCTAACCATTTTTGTTTTATGGAAGCTAGAACTAGGAATGTTAGAGCCACTTCACTAAATAAAATAAAATAAAATTACTTCCATTATATTCTTAAGTGATAAACTGTATTTTGATAAATTATAATTTGGTATAGAATACTTGAGAATACATATATCATCTATGTACTTGGGATAAAAGTTTTCGGCTAATTCAATTCGTCACTTGTCTGTTACTCTTTATTATATGCATGCATTTAATCACAATTTAACTAACAGACTTATTGAGATTTGATTCTGATTGTTTTTAAGGAGTAAAATATAGGTGACAGTTGATACATGTATGTCATGAGAGTATACACAGTTGGTTATAAGACACAATACCTGAAACTAAACTAAAATTATTCATGGCATTTTCTTGAAAATGTCTTTCTTAAATTTTTAAATTAAATTTATTATCCAATATTATAAATATTTTTAACTCATAAAATTTAAAATTTAAAATAAATTGTATATAGTTTTAGTGTTTAAATCCAAAAAAAAAAAAAAAAATACAAAAGCAGTTTTCAAGTAAATTGATACGATTATCAGTATATTTATCATAATAGATGTATTTTTTGGAAGAAAATAGTCAAAAAATTATATTTTTTATAGGACCGCAGAGGAAGTTTGAGTGTGGAGACAGACAGGTCATCGAATTTTTTCGCCAGTCGTCTTACACTTGCCAGCGTTACTAAAGCTGATTCTGGAAAGTACACTTGCAAATCTGGCAATACAAATTCTACTACTTTTACACTACATGTTATTTCACCAGGTAAACATGATATAATATTATTATACCTAATAGTTTTAGACTAAATAATGTAAAAATTAATTTGTCTAAACAAATATTAAGTAGCTAAATTTATTGAACTTGAATAATAAATAAATAAATAATGTTTCAAGATTACTATAAACATTTTTTCAAATTACAATCTAAATAGTATTTTAATGAATATTTTGAAGTTGGGTTTTTGATTTATAGATTTTATTATAGAAATACCACAACCACTATATGGCTTTTGATATATTGTATTTCTGAATACTTTAATATTGATATGATATTAATATTGTATATTAGATATTTAAGTCAAAATATTTACATAGTGTGTTAGTTATGTTTTAGCACCAATGTTTCGACCATTTTAAGTATCAAATCTATTAGTTTTAGCGGTTGAGCGTTGTTAATCAACATTTATTCGATGGCGTGGATTGATAAATTTATACTAAACACAGATTAGACTTATAATATATACGAATAAGAATAATTCCAATGCTATTGTTATAGTCATATCAAAATTGCATATGTTATGATTTAAGGATTAATATTCATACCCGAATGTTGTATTTGTCAATTCGTCAGCATTATTACGTCACCTATTATTTTAAATGTTGATTTGCTATTCACACGATGGATTAATAACAATGAATATAAATATAGGTAACTGTTTAAATCATAACTGTTATACCTTGCAATATAATGTGAATTCCGACAAAGTGGAAAAAGTAAATCGAATTTTGAACGATGAAAAATAATATCGTAGTTGGAAGTGAAATAGATATTCTCAATATTCCTAATATTTAAATTAACACACATAATTTAAACATAATAAATATTGAAAATGATACTTAATCAATTGTTTTATTGCCTGTCCAGTGTTTAGGTAAAAATGTATATTTAATATTTAATTAAAAGACAATCAAGCCATACAAAGCTATAAGGAAGTAACGATTTTAATTATAATCGATTTTGTTTTTATACATTATATTTATTGAAATTTTTTTTATTATTATTCATTTCAAAATTAGTAACAATATTAATGATTAATATGATATAATATTTTATATGTTTGAATATGATTTATTTCAGCGAATGGATTAGCTTTGCAAGATGGTTTGACATCAAAAGGTTCACATAATTACCAACCCGATTATGTTATGTCAATTATCATATTTAATCACATTTTATGTTCAATATTTGTATTTAAATTGCTGCAATGGTAAACATAATATTTGTAATATAAATTTTACGCATTTTTGTAATTGTTTTTACATACGTTTTTAATAAGTACCATCATTTTAGTATGGTTTTATATTTTTGGAATTATAAGCAAAGAAATAAAAATACTAAGGAATAATGTACAAGTGTATCTATCAAATAAATGTACGTTGTGTAGTAATGTGTTTTTATTGTTATATAGATTTATTATGACTTTATATGTGACATTTTTCATTTAACTTTTTGTTTTCTTTAAATACAAAAAACATCTAAAAAAAAATCATAAAATATTATATGTAATTTAGTTGAAAAAGTAAATCTGCATCTATATAAAAATTAATAATAATTTAGAATAATATAGGTATTACAATATTATATTTCTAATAGTTAAAATATTTCAGTTATTTCAGTTAATTATTAAAAAAAGCAAAAGTAATTTGTTTTTTTTATAAATTCGAATAAAGTTTAAAAATTAATTCATCAAATTATTACTTAATATTTTAATATTGAAGATACGTTGCTATGAATTTTAAAATACATTTATTTTTAGTGAATCCTATTTTAAAGTTTAAAAAAAACCGGGTAATATAATTAGTACAAATTTAAAACATTTACACAAAACCAGTTTCCATTAAAATCTATTTACTTTTTATTTTTTTATAAATTTTCAATATAGCAATAGATATTTTAAATGATCGACTATTCATTTTTTTTTTTTTTTTTGATTTATTTATAATAACAGTTTTATTTATATATTAATAAGTTTAACAAATAAAAACGCAATTCTTCATAAATTCTTTCTTCAGTAAAAAATATTGAAAATATAAAAATGTACAATTCTTTACAGTCGATGTTTTAAAGTGGTTATTTGAACAATAAAAAAAAAGAAAACATATTATCTTTACACGATTTTAATTATTTTGTTGTGATTTAAAAATTATTAATCGTTTAGATTTCTTATCATTACGTATATTATTATTATTATCATATAATAGACAATGACATCTTTAAAATATTCAGATATTTTTTGGTTACTCACGCCTGAAAACAATTCGTTCCATTTAGCATTATTAAACTGAGTTATAACCTTATTAATTGATGTAATATAATAATTAATAATAATAATGTGATATTCTTAATATACTTAAAACTATTTATTATTGCTTCATTAATAATTACTCAAAAAGTATTTAATTTCATATTCATTTTTACTAAACTTTTTTTTTTTAGAAACATTTTTTGTTTAGTAGGCAGTAACTAGTGAAACGATAAAAAAACCTTATGTAGTTTAATTTTTTTAATTATAGTCATAACTTATAATAAAGCTATTCTTGTTAAATGTGTAGTATTGACGTAAAAAATGCTTTTATACTTAAGTATAAATTCATGTATGACAATATCTAATAAATTTGTTAATATATTATAGATAATTAATACGCGTAAAAAATGTCAGATTAATTTTTTATAGGAGGATGAAATCGTATTAAATACCTATTATTTTTATATTATTATATTTTTATATGTGAGTTAAGGTAAGTGGTAATTAAAATGTTAAATACAATTTTGTAGATGTAAAGATCGTTTTATAATAAATATTTCACAATTTCAATATGAGTAAATTATGTTGAATTAATTCAAAAAAAAAGGTATAACTTATTTTGAGTATTTAATGTTAAAAATTCCTTCATTGAATAAAATTCTATACATATGTAAAAAATGTAAGTAAAATGTATCAAAAAAAGCGATTAATTTTAACGAGAGTATTGCTAAAAATGCAACTGGTGTGACAAGAAAATCGCTTTCTAAGTTTATACGAACAAACTTTTTTGTCCTTATTTGTATTAGTAAATTATAGTTTTTACTTATTTTAGGTGTTTATTGTCATGTTTATTAGTCTTAAATAATTTATTAATACCTATGATATATAATGTATATTGTATATTTATATTTATGCACTTAAAATTATAAAGGTATTATAATATATTTACAACATTTTTATGTTGTATGACTGTTTATTTTTGCCACTATACTCAAAAGAATAGTAGCTATTGTATTATATAGGTTAGATTAGTCTTTTGTATTTTTGAATAAATTTCTCAGAGTTTTGGATATAAAATATTTTATGGGTAGATTGTATTCGTAGTTTGTGACACTAATATTTGCATATTACATAAAAAATGTCCATTTAGAGTACCACTGAATGGACTCTGTGCTGTTTACTGAGGTATTATAAAAAATACCGCAAAAACTAAAACTATCAAACAAAAAAACGAGACATCTCTAAGCGTTTGTATTAAATTTGATGAAAACATTATAGACTATTACTGATAAACATTTAAAAAATATATCTGGCTTTCATTTTCACCACTATTACTCCCCCCCCCTCTACTCATATTTGTCCAAACCACAGTCGTCATTTTCTGTCAAGCGAATAAAAAAATAAATAATGATGTGTACTTTTTGTCGACTGTCGTGATCTTTCGTGGTTGCCTAAGGGGGCTAAAGCCAACATTTATTAATGCTAGTTTATAAGATAGGGTGTGGGCCAGGATTTACATTACAAATCGAGCCATTTGACTGGGCAATTAGTCGACGAAAATGACATTAAGGACGTGAAGTGAAAAATCCACCGCAAGATTAATCGCCATCAAGGTTTGGAAAAGCTAATACTTTTTTTATCTTCTTCTTTTGATGGTTTTTTTTTTTTTCATTTGTGGATCTTGTATCCTCGACTTTCATACAGCGAATCTGATAAAAAATAAAAATAAAACAGAGATAATATTTTCGTATAGTTAAGATATCGTCTTCTGTCTTATAATCATTTATCGTAAAATATAGCTATAATACGGTAATAGTTAATTGCATATGACTTAATGTTATTCCTAATATGTATTTATTATTAATGTTGTTTTATATATGTATAAACTTATGTTGTAAACAATTAATAAATAATTTAAAGAAAATTAATGTAAATTGTAAGCAAAATTAAACTATTAAACTATTTAAAATTATTATTTTTTTTAATATAATCGAAACGCTTTTGTACTGTTATATCTTTTTTTTTTTTAGTTATTTTCATGTTGATACAATTGTATAAGCTGCAAATTAGGCGTAATATGTGTAATTCGATTTTCATGTTATGGCTTCACACAGTTATAATATAATATGATAGTTAATGAAATAAGAGCTTTAAATTATAATGAAAATTTAGTTTGTGAGAAACAGTATTCCTTTTTCTTTGTAATTTTCTAATGTTTCAAACAATTTACAGACGTTTATATTCCATTAGTCGCTTAATTAAAAATAAGTTTTATGTAATTTTATTGATTTATACGATCAACTTCAAATGATACGAAATACTTTTTACAATATTTATTTTTTTACTGTATTTTGACATTTTTATTTCTTAATATTATACATAAAAGTTGTGACCTACTTTTAAGTAGATAACTATATGCATTTATATTTTTATGATTTTTAGTTAGAAATGAAAATTGATTCCTTAATCTGGAGCTTAAATTATTCCATTAAGTTGTTTATATACTCTACCTGCTACGGATTTATGATATTTTAAAATGTTTTGAATATACATAATAAAAATTTCCAGTTCAAGCTTAAAATCTAAAAAACCGTATTGCTGAATATAAATAATAACTATTTTATTGGAAGTAAAATATTTTATACGGCAATACTGATTTAATTTATTTTCCATTAACTTAAAATAATCTAGATTTCTTTAATAAATTAATGAATATCTTACAATGTTTATATATTTGTGAGACATCTATACACATTTTCATTTTCATTACAGGTATTAGGAATAGTTTTTATCAAAATAATTACACGAGTTACAATAATATGAGATGTCACTACTATTGAAGCCGTTGTAGTTACGGAAAATAAAAATGTAGTTCCCTAAACTTCTGATAATCTTATTGCATTACATGTAGAATAATTTGAGATTTGAATAAAAATGTTATAACTTAGAAGTATTTATTATTTATTTTTTATTTTTATAAGTTTACAATGTAATTAATAATATTAAGACAGTTTTTTGTTTAAATTGAGTAGGCAATTGACTCAAATCATTTATTTATGAATTGGTGTTAAAATACTAAAAACCACTAAACATTTTTATTTATAGTTTATAAATAATAATTAACATAATTATAATTTATGTTCATCGAGATTAATTTCACCATGGTACATTTTATTTTTTAAACATGTCTATGGACATACATAATCTTTCCAATCTGATCTATGTTAACATTAATTTACAAGGATTTCATATTTAGTAAGTAATCGGTATATTATATCATATACACTTAAGTTATTTATTTATAAAAATACATTGTTTTGATTTTTACATGGTTATAAATTATAATATAACAATAGGTAAGTAATAGGTATCTATACATCAATTTTACATATTGTATCATTATGCATCGTGATTCTTGATAATATATTGTGGATATGCATTAAATTGCACTACTTGGATATCTCATATTTTGTTCCTGACTACATCCACAAAAATAATTTTCTTATACATTTTAATGAAAACAATTTAAATACATAAACATTTTTCTACGCACAATTTTTTTAAAAATTAAAACAGTTTTAATCTAAATTTGTGTCATATTTAAATTTGGATGTAGTATTGTTCATTTTGTTCAGTTATTGTATTTATATTATTTTCTTGTTTGACTGTTTGACGAGTTCGATGATTAATTTTGAATCAGAGTCGTTAAACAGTTGTCTGATCAATTCATATTGTTGTTTGTATGCGCAGTCTTCCATTTCAGTTATTTTAGTTTTCAGTTCTATTATCGTATTCTCATATTCTTTTTTTATTACGTTTTGCGGGATCTCTTATTTCAGCGATTATTCGTTCTAGTCAGCCGATTATTTCTTCTTTAGTTTTTGCTGGCTGATGATTATAATTTTGTCGTGACATGTTGAGATTTTGTTCTTTGCTTTCGTAAATTCGAACATCTTGGACGGATGTCAGTTGAAACGGCGT